CGGCGGCGAGCCCGGGGGGAGCGGGGTGGCAGGGCTGCGCCAGGTAAACTGAGGCCGCCCGGCCGACCCAGCCCTTTGCGGGGCTCCGCGGACCCTCCCGAGCACCGTCTGCCGGGCAGCTCGGCGAGGCCTCGTCTCCGCGATAAACACATAAAAAGTTAGCCGGGCGTGGTGGCGCGCGCCTGTGGTTCCTGCTCCTTGGAAGGCTGGGAAGAAAGAGTCGCCGGAGCCCGGCGGGTGGAGGCTGCGGGGGCCGGGAGCGTGCCACTGCGCTCCAGCCTGGGCGACCGTGAGACTCCGGCTCAAAAAATGCGAAGGAGAATGCAGTGCTGAGGCTGAATCAGAAGATAACCAAGAAGAACAGAAACAGGTGCGCTCCCCGGAAAGCAGCCTGACACCGTGGGAGGTGTGGTTTGTTGGCAAAGAAAAAAAAGAACGTGACCGGCTGCAGCAAAAAGCTCTGAAGGAATTAAATTCACAACTCGAAAAAATAAAAAAAAACAAAAACGGAAGAACATGAAAAAAGAAAGATAATTGCTGAAGAAAAGCACAAGGAATGGGTTCAGAAAAAGAACAAACAGAAAAGAAAAGAAAAGGAACAAAAAATTAATAAAGAACTGGAGTAAAAAGCAACAAAGGAGCTGGAGAAAGAACATTTGCAAGAAAAAGCAAAAGAAAAATATCAAGAATAGTTAAAGAAAAAAATGCTGAAGAATATGAGAAGAAGAAGAAAGAAAAGAAACAACGGCAAGCTGAATTACAGGAGAAAAAGGAAATCGCAGAAAAAAAGTTTAAGGAAGAGTTGGAAGATGCAAAAAATAAACCTCATCCAGCTGCAAAGAGCTATGGTTATGCTAATGCAAAGCTTACAGGTTTTCACAGTGGAAATGCCTATCCAGAGCCAGCCTTTTATAACCCAATTCCATGGAAACCAATTCACATGCCCCCTCCCAGAGAAGCTAAGGACCCCTCGTGGAGAAAGAGGCCTGTGAAAAGGCCTGTGAAAAGCCAGCCACACCAGCCCTCCTCTCTGACCATCCACAAAGCCAGAAGCAACCTTTGCCTGGGAGCTCTGCACAGAATACAGAGATAGCACACATGGGAACAGTATGCTTTTACCTGGAGCTATTTCATTTTAAAATTAGAAATGGTTTCTTACTGCTCAGAATATAGACAAGTATCAATTTTTGGATTTGTGTATGGAGTCCTTAGAGTTAATTGAGGAAGATATTTTCTACATTTCATTTTTCATAAACCTTTCAAGATTGATTTTGGCATACTGTTTTGCAGGATAATTGACTATTGAATATGTGACAATTGTGTTTGAATTTAAACTACATGTTAATACCAATAAAGCTGATTTGTCTTTAAAAAACAAACAAACCACATTAAGAAGCTTCTCAGTTCTCTGGTTCTCTTGGTTCTCTGGTTGACAGCCTCAGCTAAGCTCCTGTCCCAGCGACTAGCTATATAAATGACCTCTCTTTGACATCTCAGCTCCTATGAGCCCCTGAATGAGACCGTATGGAGCAGAAGTACAGCCCAGCTGAGCCCAATCAACACACAGAATTATAAGAAAATAAATGATTGTGGTTGTTTTAAGTCACTAAGTTTTGAGTGTTTTGTTCCCAACAAGAGATAATCAAAACAAGAGGAAAATGAGTTATAACTGCTTTGGTATCTTGCCAAAGGAAATGTATGTGGTTAATTATCAGATATGCCTATGTTTATCTTTAAAAAAAAAAAAAAATCAAGACCGGGCGTGGTGGCTCATGACTATAATCCCAGCACTTTGGGAGGCAGAGGCAAGAGGATTGCTTGAGCTCAGGGGTTTGAGACCAACCTGAGCAACATGGTGAGACCTTGACTCTACAATAAATAGAAAAATTAGCTGGGTGTGTTCTCACGTGCCTGTGGTTCCAGCTACTTAGAAGGCTGAGGCTGAAGGATCGCCTGAGCCCAACAGGTTGAAACTACGGTGGCCGTGAGCATGCCACTGCACTCCAGCCTGGGTGAAAGAGTGAGACTCCAACTCAAAAAAAAAAAAAAAATCAGAAACACTTTTCCTTGTATTATCGAGTAATATATATTGAGTTCCTGTATTAGGAAATGAACTAGAATTTGTATGAATCTCTTAATTGAATCCACTTTAAAATATATCTGAATAAGGCCAGGAGTGGTGGCTCATGCCTAGAATCTCAGTACTTTGAGAGGTCAAGGCGAGAGGATTGCTTGAGCTCAGGAGTTTGAGACCAGCCTAGGCAACATGGTGAGACCACATCTCTACAAAATATTAAAAAATTAAGCCCAGGTGTGGTGGCTCACACCTATAATCCCAGCACTTTGGGAGGTCGAGGTTGAGAGGATTGCCTGAGCCTGTGGGTTTGAGACCAGCCTGGGCAACTTGGTGAGACCTCACCTCTACAGTAAAAAAATTAAAAAATAATTAAAAAATTAGGTGTAGTGGTGCACACCTGTAGTTCCAGTTATTCAGGAGGGAGAAGGACTGCCTGAGCTCAGGAGGTCAAGGCTATAGTGAGCCATGAGCGTGACTCTGAACTCCAGCCTGGGTGACAGAGTGAGACTCCGACTCAAAAATTTAATTTTTTTTTTTTTTTGAATTGGAGTCTCACTCTGTCACCCAGGCCGGAGTGCAATGGCATGCTCACAGCCACCACAGCCTCAACCTGCTGGGCTCAGGCAATCCTTCTGCCTCAGCCTTACAAGTAGCTGGAACTACAGGCGTGTGCCACCATGCCTGGCAAATTTTTTTGATTTATTGTAGGGACATGGTTTTGCCGTGTTGCCCAGACTGGTCTTGAACCCATGGGCTCAGGCAGTCCTCTCACCTCTGCCTCCCAAAGTGCTGGGATTAGAGGCATGAGTCACCACTCTTGGTTCAAAAATTTAATTTTATACCTATTTTTTACTCCTAATTTCAGTGGACATATTCCCATGCTGACAAATTTTTGTTTAAGACATGGTTTTAAGGGAAGTATAGCACTCCATAATTAAGAAGTGGCATAATTTGTTGGATACAGAGAAGAAAGAATCAAAGAGTACTTTAAAAAAATGTTGAAAGTGATTATATGATTGGTATTTTAGGGAGCTTTTTTTGTATAAATACAGAAAACAAATATTTTACATTCAGGAAATAAACAGCAAATACATATAAATTTAAAACATTCTAGGCTGGGCGTGGTGGCTCACACCTATAATCCCAGCACTTTGGGAGGCCAAGGTGAGAGGATTGCCTGAGTCTATGGATTTGAGAACAGCCTGGGCAACATGGCGAGAGCTCATTTCTACAACAAATCAAAAATTAGCCAGGCATGGTGGTGCGTGCCTATAGCTTCAGCTACTTGGAAGGCTGAGGTGGAAGGATCACCTGAGTCCAGTTGGTTGAGACTCCGGTGACCGTGAGCGTGCCACTGCCCTCCAGTGAGATTCCGACTCAAAAAAATAATTCTACAAATGTAACATTTAATGAATAATCATCATGGTACCTTGAAATAAAGTCCTGGCTGTAGCTATATAGAAGGTCATAATTTCACTGGAAAGCAAGTAGCTTACTCTTCTGATAAACATGTCCCATTTCTTTTGGGTTATTCCAAAGTAGTCAGAACTTTCAGGACCAACTATCCCAAGAACCTAGGATTTTATAAAATGCAATAAGCACAAATGCCTTTTTTATCCATTTTTTTTTTGAGTTGGGAATCTCACTCTGTCACCCAGACTGGAGTGCAGTGGCTGCTCCCAGCCACCACAGTCTCGACCTGCTGGGCTCTGGTGATCCTTCTGCCTCAATCTTCCAAGTAGCTGGAACTACAGGCGCGCACTACCACACCTGGCTAATTTTTTATTTTATTTTATTGTAGAGATGAGGTCTCGCCAAGTTGCCCAGGCGGGTCTCGAACACGTGGACTCAGGCAATCCACTCAATTCAGCGTCCCAAAGCGCGGGATTACAGGCTGAACCACCGAGCCCGGCTTTTTCCATTTTTTGAGTTGAAGTCTCACTCTGTACCCAGGATGGAGTGCAGTGGCACACTCACTCACCACAGCCCCGACCTGCTGGGCTCAGGCAATCCTTCCACCTCAGCCTTCCAAGTAGCTGGAACTGCAGGCACATGCCCCCATGCCCGGCTCTTTTTTTTTTTTTTTATTGTAGAGACGAGATCTCGCCAAGTTGCCCAGGCTGATAACCCCTGGACTCAGGCAATCCTCTAGCCTCAACTTCCCAAAGTGCTGGAATTACAGACATGAGCCACTTTGCCCAGCTGACTTTTTTTTTTCCCCCTAAAAGTCTAGCTTTCAGTGCATTGCAAATTATTTTCCAATTTGAACTATAACTCCAGCTCAGGACTCAACTAAACTCAGAGTTTATTTGTGAGGAAAGTCAAATGAGCCTTCTTGGTTGAATGGCAGGCAAGTAAAACATACCTCTTTTTCTCCCCTTCCCCATAGATTCTGCTAGAAGGTCCTGCCCCTGCCCTCACTTCCTCCTATGAAGTGCTGCACCATTGCTGTGCTCTGCAGAGCAACTGCCAGGCATTCACCATCCTCCGGAGAAATGACTCTTCCAAAGGGCAGAATTTCCCTGAACTATGGTTTTCTCTCTACAAGCTCAGTGTACTTAAATTTTCCAAGCAACATTTCAAAGCCTTGGAAAACCCAATGTAGCTTTAATTTTCTGCTGCTGTTGAATGAGATGCAATTAATTTCTTGTGAGACTGAATTTTTCAATTAACAAATTCTAAATGACATTTTTGGTGCTAAGTCCATAAATCAACTTTATTCCTGGACAAGGACAAAATAACTGAACTTCCAAGGACTGTAGTTTAATGGCAAAGAACAAAGTCATTAGAAATGTAGACTTTGAAAGCAAACAAATATAGACAAAAGGGAGTTTGAGCCCTAATGTTGACCTTTTCTGGCTGGGTAATTTTGGTCAGTTTGCTTAACCCCTCTAAGACTCCATTTCTTTATCTGTAGAATGGGGATAATTATAGTACCTATCACATACAGAAGGTGTAGAGTGACCAAAAAGCCTGGTTTGTCTAGGTCTCAGAGGTTTCTCAGGATGCAAGACTTCAGTGCTACAGTTAGGACATCCCTGGCAAACTAGGTTGCTTGATCACCCTGTATGATGTAAAGTACTTGGCACAATGCCTAGTATGTAATAAGCATTCAATAAATATTAGCCATTATTTTTTGTTTTTCAAGTCTGAGAATATTACTATAGATATGTTTTCTATATAGGTTAATTGACACATCTCTATTTAAAGGCTAAAACATAATTTAAAAAATAAAGTACATCGTTAGTGGATCAGCATTATTGTTCATTTCTAAGGTCTACTTGGCTATTTCTAAAATTTGATAATTTCTTTTTGCCTCTGTCTTCATATGGGCATCCTTTCCCTGTGTTCTTCAACCCTGTGTCTCTGTTTTTTCTTCTTATATCAGTCATTGGATTATGGCCTGATCATTAACCAAGCTTGACCTCATCTTAACTTCATTGCATCTGCAAAGACCTCATTTCCAAATGAAGTCACATTCACAGGTACTAGGGGTTATAACTTCAAACATACATTTTTGGGAGGACCTAATTTAACCCATAGCACACAATGAAAGATCAGTTCAGTTTTCTTTTTAAAAATTTTATTTTAGATTTAGGGGATAAATGTGCATGTTTGTTACATAAGTATATTGGGTAATGGTGGGGATTGGGCTCCTAGTGTGCCTGTCACTCACAAAGTGAACATTATATCCAATAGGTTGTTTTTTTTAACCCTCAGCCCTCTCCTCCCCTCCTCCCTTTTGGCGTTCACAGTGTCTATTATTTTCATATTACTGTCCATGTGTACTCATTGAGCTGAACAATTGTTTAGCTCAATGAGTACACATGGACAGTACTTTTTCTGCTTTTTTTTTTGAGTCAGAATCTCACTTTGTCACCCAGGCTGGAGTGCAATGGCATGTCACAGCCACCATAGTCTCAACTTGCTGGGTTCAGGTGATCCTTCCACTTCAGCCTTCCTAGTAGCTGGAACTATAGGCATGCGCCACCATGCCTGGCTAATTTTTTTGATTT